GAAAGATCTCCGTAATTACCTGCATGAGCTGCTCTCCCCAGCCGCCCCATCCTTAGCGAGGAGCACTTTCCTTTAAAACCTTTTGTGAGAAACACATACCTGGAAGGGATAATTATCCATGCAGTGCTTTGTGCTGTTGCATTGTGCTCCTTAATAGATTGTGAGCGAATTCTTGCCAAAAAAAAAAAAAAGAAAAGAAAAAAATAGTTAGCAGACAAGTATGGCTGATGCCAAAGAGCAAATGGAAGGGAAAACAATGTCATTGTTCAAGAAAAAGGGAGCAGCAAGAGCAGCGCTGAATCCCCCTGCATCAGAGGCTGCTGTGCTGATCCTCGTCCCCAAAGGGCTATAGGGGAGAAGAACAGGTTGGACTGAAAAATCACTCTTTAAAATCAGGCTAAACCGGGATGAACGCTCCTGGGTCTTGTCCAGAGGCCTTTGTCCTTTTGGCCTTTGCTCATTTGTGCGCGTTTCCTGTCTTACAGAATAGGAGGTGAAAAGGTCCTTCTGCTCTCAGCGTCGGCCTGGGGCTTCCTCACGGTCGTCACCCCTCTGCTCACCCACCTCAGCTCGGCCCACCTGGTCCTTTTGGCCTCGTCCCGGTTCCTTATGGGGCTGCTGCAAGGTGAGATGGGGCCATTCCCGTGGCCGGTGCCTTTCCCAGCCCAGGGGCTTCTGCACAGAGCAGTAACTTGGGATACAAGTTTGGCTTGTGAGGCACAAGTTACTTAGCTGTGTGTGTGGGCAATGGGCTGGCTCCAAACTGCCCCCACATCTGGAACTTCTGTAGCAAAAAATAAAAAGTGCCATTTCTAGATGAAGTCACCATAAGTTGTTCCCTGGAGAAATCTGTTTGCAAGATGTGGGCTGCAAGGTAGAAAGCAAAATGCTGACTCCTTTGGGGTGATTTTCCTTCCCTTTTACTGAGCTGCGATAGTGGGAGGCTGTGAGAACGAGTGCCCTGGCAGTGAGGAATTCACCGAGCGCCTGCTTGCCTTGCTCCAGGGGTGTATTTCCCTGCCCTGGCCAGCCTCCTCTCGCAGAGGGTGCGGGAGAGCGAACGTGCCTTCACCTACAGCACCGTGGGCACCGGCTCCCAGTTCGGGTAAGTGCCAGGCGCAGGCGCCGCGTTGGCTCTGAGCCAGCGGAGTGGCACCGTGAGATGCCATTAAATAGTTGGAGGCAGAACTTCCATCCCCAAATCCACGTGGGTCGCTGGCTCCTTGACGATGTTGGCTGCACCTGAAGGAACCCCAGGCTGCTGCTGTCGCGCACGCTCCTGTACATGTTGCTGGGATGTCTGCGTTCTCCAAGACACACTGTTTGCTCTTGAGGATGCCCAGGATTTAAGTGGGGGTTTTTGCTTTGCTTCTCTGAGGCAGACGTTGAAGAGCGGCTGGAGCAGGGGCTGGGGCTGCGCCCCCGGGAAGCTCCCGCCGCTGATCCCGCATTCCGGGAGATCTCAGCCAGGGCTTTTCCTTCCAGCACGCTGGTGATTGGCGGCGCAGGATCTCTCCTGCTGGACTGGTACGGCTGGGAAAGTGTTTTCTACTTCTCTGGCTTGCTCACTTTGCTCTGGGTTTACTGCACGTGCAAGTACCTCCTGAACGAGAAAGGTAAATCCACCACCGCACATCCCTCCGGCTGCGGCCCTCCGTCTTTCCTGCAGGTCCCTCAAGTTTCCAAGGTGACACTTGGTTTTACAAAGATACCTGAACAAAATTCATTGTGTGTTAACGTATAGCGGGGCTGACTCAAGCTGCTAAACCTCAAACCAAGATTTCTGAAGTAGGAAACCAGCAGTGTGAAAGGTCAAAGTCACACATGGGGTTACCCTGGTGGGAGTCTGATCTAACCCCTCTGTCCTCTTAGACACCAGTAGAAATGCCAAGAGGAGCATGAGCTTCGAAGTGGATTAAGCTAAAGTGGAGCAAGATCCTTACTCCAAAGTAAGGGCATCCACACATAGAGATTTTTTTACGACCAGATAATCTGGAATATCTGCTCCAAATTACTGTCAGGGAATAATCCTGCATGGGGGCAAATGCTGCTATGGTGTGATTCGAGTGTGATCTGCAGAGCCCTGCTCGTAAGGTGCTGTACAAAATTCGAACTTTCGCCCTGTCCAAAGACATTTCTGCCTAATTATACCAAGAGATATAACAGATAGGTGAAGGTGGTTGGATGGAGGAGTGTATGGACACAGCGGCGGAAACTGGGCTGATGCAATAAGGCTTTCTCATCAGCATCCAGTGTATTGCAAAGGAAAAAAGGTTAAAAATATACTAGAGTTGTTTGTATTGAAGCTGCACAGGGCTCCTTCCAGTGGCCCACAGCAGGGCTGATCATCGCTTGCCTTGGGGCATTTTCTCCTCGCAGAGCTCGTAATTCCCTTGGATTATTTAACAAGAGGCCTCTCCCTGTCCAAGCAGAGCAAAGTTCCCTGGAAGCAGCTCTTCAGAAAGGCGCCAATCTGGTAAGTGGTGCATTTCTGAGCCGAGGCAGCAAGGGCCAACAGCACCCTCCTTCCAAAGGCTTTCTCCCTCCTTGAGCTCATTTGCTCTGCGTGTTTGTGTTTTGTCCACTTATTTAGCTATTTGGGGAAATACTACTAAGTTTCTAAATCCCTTCTACATATATAAATGAAGAACCAAAAAGGTGACCGGGACAACAGACCGTTTATGGAGGGATTTTGAGCTTGGCTGTAGCTGGCAAACCTTCCTGCATAGCTGGCTGCTCCCTGGGACACAGGGTGAGGCTCTCCACTGTCTTCCTTAGAAATGCTGCTTGCACTGGTCCTCCAAAGAGGATACTAGCTACCTATGCAAAAACCTCAGGAAGGAACTGCAGCGCTGTAAGCAATTTATTTATAGCCCAGAAACTGAAATATTGGGTTTCCAGAATGCCTGTTTTTCACCCAGCATGACCTGCTGTCACTGATGGCTTTTTTCTTACCCGCTGTGCATTTTCAGGGCTGTCATCGTAGCTCAGCTTTCCACATCCAGCGCATTCTTCACTCTCCTCTCCTGGCTGCCCACCTTCTTCAAGGAGACCTTTCCTGAGTCGAAGGTAAGTAGAAAGAAAGTGGAAAATCAAAGGTGAAGTGGAGAAGGGACAGAGCAGCCCGAGAAAATTATAATTATCCTTAATAACATGCACTTTAAAAATCACTGCTGAGGCTGCCCTCTCCTGAGCACAAATCATGTCCTCGTTTTTCAGAAACGGAGTTAATTCTCACCTGGGCTGTGAGCTGGTATTTGGTGTCTCCTTGTTTTTGGACCTGGTGTTTTCCACAACAGCTCCATCGGGTTTTAAATAACTCCCAGAGCCGCTTCCAAATGCCTTTTAACATTACATTTGTAAGGCGCTTTATGGCCTACTTGATATTTATATTGAAATCATGTATTAAACCAGCAAACATATTGTTGTGGCGAGATCAGTGCACCTCCGCTAATGTGCTTGGCTGGCAGTAATTTACCATCTGCCAGGCATTATATCGTGGTGCTCTTATGCAAGAGGCTCCCTATAATGTTCCCGCGCCTGATAATCGCTTCCGAGGTTTTAATCAAACGTGGCTTGCTGGGGCTCACTTCCCGGGATTCACGGTAATCCCTCGCATGGCAAAACCGTGTCACCTGCTGGTGGCACAGCCTTTCTGCAGGCAAGTCACCGCGCAGGGTGATGGGCTCTGCAAGGGGACATGAAGGTGACGCCAGGGTGGATTCCACACGGCAGCCACAGGAGGGTTATGCATTAAGCAAGCGAGCCAGCATAAACAATTCCTGCTCTCTTTTTGTTTCCCTCCTTTCTACAGCGAGCAGGTGAAGGAAGGTGTCCTCTCTGATAGCACATTTCTCTGGATTTTTGCTCTTTCCAGGGTTGGGTGTTCAACGTAGTTCCGTGGCTGGTTGCAATTCCCACGAGCTTGTTCAGTGGATTTCTGTCTGATCATTTAATAAGCCAGGGTAAGAGCTCTTTGGGCTTTTCCTCCTTTCTGTCCTAAGTTGCGTTTACCCTATGCTCTCCTGGCTGGAGAACAAGGTTGAACATTGAACTGTCCGTGATCAGAATGGTTCCTTCCTCTTGCAGGATATAAAACCATCACCATCCGTAAGTTCATGCAGGTAAGAGGAATAAAGCCACATGAATGCAATTTGAGCTCGTTGAATATTGCGGGAAACAGCAATGGGAAGATGAGCAGGAGCAGGAAT